GATAAGCTTTTAAGACTCGGACACGATCATCACTGCGCACATGGAAGACAAGACTGGGAAGTTGATTTAAGAAGCCTACGAGAAGGACAGCTCCTTCAGAGACGTTTTCCGAGGCGATCGACAGGACAAGAGATTTGTGAAAATCAACGGACTCAACTACTTGAGCAGCGACAACAAATCCAAGAGACTCTGCATTCCAGACGACGACATGATCAAGGTTGCCATCCTGTATAACAGTCATGACGCAGCAAGCGCAGCACATCCAGACGTGATGAGAGCGTATCTACTGATATCTCAATGGTATTGGTGGAACAACATGCAAGAAGATATCAAGGAGTAACGTTCAACTTGTGAAGTGTGTGCCAGATACAAGTCAAGGACCTCCAAAAAGAACCGACTGATGCAGTCTATTCCAATTCCGTCAGAGTGCTGGGAGACGATTTCGATGGACTTTATCACCAATCTGCCAGAGTCCGACAGCTATGACGCGATACTGACTGTTGTTTGCAAGCTATCAAAGCGACCAGCGTACATTCCGACGCACACCAACGCCACAGCGCTCGACACGGCCAGTATCTTCTTCGACAACGTCGTTCGCTACTGCGGATTGCCGCGCATCATCATCATCAGCGACAGAGATCCAAAGTTCACAGCAGCCTTTTGACAAGCGTTGATGGAGAAGATAGAAGTGAAGCTGGCAATGACGACGGCGCATCGGGCACAAGCAGATGGACAGTCGGAATAACAGAAAAGAACGCTCGAAGACTTCAACGCGAAAAGACAGCCATATGTGTGACTTCAAAGGCAATCAAGATTCAGGAAAATTATACATGCAGGATTGAAAAATGAAAATGAAAAAAGAAGAACCAGTCAAAGACAACGCGTCAAGGAAACTCAAGATCAAGAACAAGAAAAGATATAGTCTGGGGGGATGTAACATATGTACTACGTTACGCTTTATGTGATGTACGCAACATGTTATGTTCGATGTTACCGATTACAATGGTACTTCAATGTACCATTGTAACCGGTAAGTACAGGGCCGCACCCATCGTGTCCACAGATGTTCACCCATCTTGTGGATCGCACCTGGGTACCGTGTTGATTGTAAGCACATGTTGCTGAGTATCACCCAAATGCAGCCAGTCACAATTCAGTCACCCAT